GACTGCACTGTGTCTCCCTAAAATGTATGTTGAAATCCTAACCCTTGCACCTGCAAATATAATCTTGTTTGGAAATAGGGGTTTTCTTTTGTTGTGTTAATGAGATCATTATCAGAGTAGGGTGGGTCCTAAACCTAATCACTACTGAGTTATAGAGAGAGCCAACTAGATACAGCAACACACACATAGGGAAGATGCCATATGAAGACAGGCATACATGGCAGATAAATCTACAAGCCGAGGAACTGCAAAGATTGGTGGCAGCTACTAGAAGCTGAAATAGACGAGGAAGGAGCTCCCCCTAGAGCTAAGCCCTGAATTTGGACTTCTAGTCTCCTGAACTATGAGAAAATAAATTTCTGCTCTTCGAAGCCACCTGCTTGTGGTATTTCTGTTACAGCAGCACTAGGAAACTATGAACTACAGAAGTTAGACAGATATTATTTAGATGAGTTCTCATAGACTCGGACAGTGCTGTGTGGGGTGGAAGCTGGGATATAAGGGGTTAATGAAGAGGGGTGTGGTGTGAGGAAGAGGAGGCAGTAGACAATGCATCCAAGAAGTTTGACAGAGAAGGAGAGAAAGTAACTCAAGACCATAACTCAAGTGGTTAGCAGGGTGGAGGGAAGGTTTTTGACTTGGTTTTGTTTTGTCTTACTAGAGAAAGCCTGATTGCATTCGTAGACCTAATGGAGACAATGAGGGAAAGAGAAAAAGAACGGGAGAAGGTGTAACTCCTGAAGGATGAGGAGAATAGGTTCTGGTGTAGAACTATAGAGAGGCATCAACCTTCAGTCACACTAAAAGACAGTCATCAGAAGTCTGAGATAAGGGAGATAGAGACTGTTTGTTGTGGAAATGAGAAAAAATGAAGTAATTCTCCTAAGGTAGGGGGTAGTATCATCTCCTGGTGCGGCCCTCTTGTACAGTCTCTGTTTTCTTTTACAAAAGAAGGTCTCAACTCATTCTCAGCACCACCTGGGATGCTTTCTAAAAACATACATGCCTGGGCCCCACAGATTCTGATTTAGTAGCTGGAGTGGAGGCCACTCATCTGTCCTTTAATACAGATTCGGATGTAGAGTCAAAGCTGAGAACATTCACCTTAATTTGAATTTGCCATAACTGAGGGAGCAAAGGGGATTACTAGGAAGGGTAAATGGAGAGTTAAGTTTGAATCAGATCTCTGAACTTCAGTTTCCTTATCTTTAAATTTGAGATAATAACTCCAACTTCCCTGGGTTGTTATGAAGCTTAAGAAAGACAATAAATATTGAAAGTCTAAGACAGAGTCCTACAGAGTGTAGACAGCTAATACACATCTGTTTCCCTTCCTTAATAGTAGAGACTACCAGCTTAACCCAGTGTTTAACGTATAATGGCTTGTGCAATTTGAGCTTAACCATTTATACTCTGTGCAAAGGGTGTACACCACACGGCATATTGTCTCTGGCTGCACTGAGCACTGGGTACTAAAGGAAGTTCTATGGAAGTTATTCATTACTCAGTGACTTAACTCTGAAGTACTTCTCTTTCTGGAAGAGAGGACCTTTTCAACATTGCTAGCTCACTCATAGTCACGGACACAATGAACTCACCTCGCTATAACTTCATCACATCCATAACACAAAGGGGCACCACACTTGTGAGTTTACACAGAGCTTTCACATATACTATCTCATTTAATCTTCCTGAAGCTCTAAGAGGGAGATGTTAATGTTTTATAGATATGGAAGCTGAGCCTCAGAAGAAGTTAGATTTGCTAAAAGTTGTGTAAGCAGGAAGTGTTAGAACTACAATTTGAACCCAGTTTGTCTAATTCCGGAGTCCCTAGGTGGCACAAATGGTTAAGCACTGGACTGCTAACAAAATGTTGGTGGTTCAAACTCACCCAGAGTCACCTCAGAAGATAAGCCTAATGATCTGCTTCCGAAAGGTCACAGCCTTGAAAACTCTATGTAGCAGTTCTACTCTGCACACATAGGGTCACCATGAACCAGAATCAACTTGACAGCAACTAACAACAGTCTAATTCCAAGTCCAAAGCTCCTTACCCTTCACCGCAACTGTCCCCAACAATTATTCTGTTGTCTTGATCAGGGTTATGTAGACTTCCATCCTGATCATCAGAGTCCAATAAAGCAGAGGATATTTTGCTTCAGCTTATATGAATCAAATTAGCCATATGCTTCACTGGGTATACTTCTGTACTGAGCTCATGCTATTCCCTCTGTTGGATCATGTTCCCCACTGGAAAACTCCTACTCACCGTTCAAGATTCAGCCAGGCATGAAGACCTCTAGGCAGCTTTCCCAGTACTTATGCCCACCCTGGCTGCTGTGATGTACTTTTTTTTTTTCAACTAAAGGGAAAAAAGACTTCATACAACTAGTTTCATTTCTTCATGGTAAAAAAGCAAAACTGAGCCATAAAAAATACAATTTCCTATTCCCCCTGTAGCTATCTCTACTGTGGAACAGCATGTCAGTGATCAGACTAGGCCACTGCCTACAGGGGGTGGTATTAGGGAATCAGGAAGACCCTCAATTATCTTGCTTTATTTCTGTCCAAAAAAGAATTTCCTCCACCTTCTCACTTGCTCTGAAACTCATGTTATACAGAACAAAGCCTTCATTTGAAAAAAAAAAAAAAATTGCTCTGTTTTTTTTTTAGTAAGAAACGGGCTTAAAATACAAATAACCCGTAAAATCACACTGAAGTGTAAATGACTGATAGCTGATCTTTTCCTGAGAGCAGGCTTTCAAATGGAAGAGAGTCTGAGATTCCAGGCCCCAGAAGAAGGTAAGACACAGGAGCTAGTGGTGAAGTGTGGAGAAAACACTCAGAGTTGTCGGACACCTTGAAGACAAACGTGAGTTTCTCAGCTGGCTTGGGGCTGGACCTGTTGTCAGGGACCCAGATCAGACAATTCCTGTTTTTAACATAGCATTCACATAGATGCCAGGGACCTGGGTTTACCCAAGTTTTGGATTTTGTATAAATCAGTTACAATCATGTTTTAAAAATGTAGGACAGACCTTGAAAGAGGTAGTGATGATTCAGTGGGAATATTCTGGCCTTCCATGCAGTAGACCTGGGTTGGATTTCTGGCCAATGTACCTCATGTGCAGCCAGCCACCACTGGTCTGTCAGTGGAGGCTTATGTGTCGCTATGACGCTGAATGGATTTCAACGGTGCTTCCAGACTAAGACAAACTAAGAAGAAAGGCCTGGCAATCAACTTCTGAAAATCTGCCAATAAACCCCTATGGATCACAACGTCCGATTTGCAGCCAGTCGTAGGGATGGTACAGGACTGGGTAGCATTTCATTCCATCGTGCATGGGGTCACCATGAGTCTGGGGCCGATTCAACAGCAGCTAACAACAACAGACCTTGTAAATAAGCCAAATAGCTCAGTATAAGGTGGACAAATGCTAAGGCATTCCTATTCAGTAAAAGGGGTATTTTCACTAAAAACTCCATTTGAAGGAAGCCCCATCATGACTAAGGAAGGGTTAACATGATTGTGACCTCAGAACAGCTTGAACAACTTTGGGGAAAAGCTACCTCATTTGTGCAAGGACTTGATTGCCAAGTCTCTGCATGTTCATATTCTTCCTCTTTTTCAAGGTCAAGTTCAAATTCTACCTCCCTCTTGAAGCCATCCTTGATTGCTCTCCCCCCACCATTGCTCTTTTCTCTGGACTTCTACAGCATTTCATCCGAACCTCTACTCCTGGCACTTACCACTCTATGCCGGACGTCGTAATTGTTCATATAACTTATCCCCAATAATCTGGTACCCATGATCTAGTACCTGACATATGGTAGGTGGCAAGGAATGTTTGTTGAGTGAAAGCAGGAATCTACTCTGCTGTCCAGACACATTCTAGCCCAGGATGCTTCTACGGATTGTTTATAAAGCTCTTAAGAAGCATCAGAAAGGAACTGAACTCCTTATCACAGTATCTCAATCAAAGACACTATTTATTTACATGTTAACACATGCTATATATCATAGATGTAAACATATACATTCATACACAAGAGTACCTTTGCAGAGTATATGTACATATACGTACATGAAGGCTGTGTATGGTAACATAGGCTACCAGAAGACTCAGAAGTGGGACCAGGTGACATGATTTGAAAAGCATGTCCCAAAGCCCCTAGCGATACAGTCCCCTGTGTAGTCACATTGTCAGAAAATCCCCTCTCAGTGTCTTATCCCTTAGGGAATATATCAGACAGGTCATTCTCTCTCTCCCTCGTCTCCTGCTCCATGAATGTAAACCAAGGCATCCCCATTAGCACGGGCCCTGAGCTCCTGCTCCATTATGGGCCAGCTAAGGGCTGAAAGGGGAGATAAGGCAGAACGTGATGTAGCAGCTCCCAGCTCAGTTTCTCTAAACACACCACCTGGGGTTGAATCCCAGCTTTTCACAAACTAAGCATGTGATTTGGACAAGTCATCTAACCTCTCTGGACTTGATTTCATCTGTAAAATGAGATAACAATAACATCTACCGCCCAGGGCTGGGTGAGGATGCAATACCTGTAGGCATAACACGTCGGTCTGGTATGTGATAAATAATCACCAAATGTTTGCTATCATCTTCAGTTATTGCTTTTTGTCTTTCCCGTGAAGCATCCAGCTTACAGACTGGTGTTTCTCTAATACATTGAGGCCAAAACCGTATCCTCCAGAAGCTGGGCCCAGACCCCAGTATGAAACCCACTTTGTGACAACCCACCCAGCCACACAATTTCCTCAATTAAAGTGAGGGTAGACGAGCACAAGGATTCTCAGTTCGGCTCCTGAGTCCCCAGATACCTACCACTGACCTAACAATATTACCCTGCATGAATTAACATAGCCTCTGGGTCTTACACAACCAGAAAACTGCTGTTTAGCCACACAACTTCCTATTGTGCATGCCTTTTCTTTGACCAGACATTTTGCCAAATATATCTAACTAACAATTCCAAAAGCAAAGTGTAGCAATTTTTTTTTTCTTGCTGAAAGTCTCCCCCATTTGGGGGTACTCAATCACATTATACAATTGCAAAATGGTCAGGGTATAAATAACCTCTGTTGCTTCATATTCCTGATGCAGCAATTGTTTAAGATGTGGCTTTATAAGGGACTCAAAAAGAGCAGTGAGTGACACGTGATGCTGTGAGCTTTCAGGTACCCAACAGGGGAGGTCTGTACCCAGAGAAGCAGAGAGGAAAGCCAGCAGAGGTAGTGTTGGAAGAAAAGGCCATGTTAAGTCTGAAGATGCTTACGCTGCTGCTCTTACTCCACATGCAGCTCTCCATGGCCTTCCCTGTACCTGCTGAACCCCCCGAAGAGAAAAACACAAAAATTGTTCAGGTAAATTAATTATCAATGATCCCCTGGGGTGGGTGGTTGATTTGATGATTATTGGGAAATTGGGTGGGTAGTTTTCTCTTCTTAGTTAAAACAGGCTGAAAGAAATTATCTGGGTGATTTCCTTGAGGCTGGACAACTTGGTTCAGTGATTTGGATGGTTCCAATCTGGCAAGGACTGGGCCCTCTAACAGTCAGGGCACAAACATATGCTGGCTCTTCAAAGCCCAGGAAAATACTGCTGCCAAGCTGCCTCCAGCTTGGGAACCCTTTTAGAAGGAATGGCTTTAATTATAAAACTAAATGATTTTCTTTCTTTCTTGGTTACCTAAGGTTTTCCCTTCCATTATGTCCCCAACATTAGTTACATGCTTTGTGCTTCCTATACAAACTTCCCTCTGCAGCCAAAAATCCCGGGTGTAGAAGAGAGCATGAGGTGGGAGATGAGAACAAAGCAGGAATCAGTTCCTAGTGATTTACCAAGCACCAGATTGCAGGGCTATTTATAAACTCTTGGAAGCACTATGAAACAGAGCCAAAAGCTTTTTTCTGTTGTTTCACAGTAAGAAAGCCAGGTCAAATTTTAAGAAACACAAGGAAACGCTGTTACATATTTGCACGCGCAATTTTCGTAGCAATACGCTTTTAGAAAGGCGTTTTTCTTGTTGCTAAATTTTTGGTACCTCTTCTAGTGATAACAGTAAACCTCTGGGCGAATAGCTAGATTCATTAAGCTAATTTATTGAGCGCTTACAAGGCAACCTGCTAACTGTTGCACAAACATCTTATTTAATCCACACAACAACCCTGTGAGGTGGATATTATTATTTTTACTTTAGAGATGAGAATGTGATTTTAAATCAGTTAACTGACATGTCCAAAGTCTCACAGCCAGTTGGTGGCAGAGCCAAGATTTGAACCCAAACCTGTCTGATTACAAGCTTGTGTTCTGTCTGTGTCATCTACAAAGTACCAGGTGTTCACAGGCTAGAGAAGGTGAGATAAAGAAGTCATATAATTGCCTTGTTAACATCCTTCAGAACCCTTAGTTCCAAATGAACGGTGGCTCCTTATAAAGAGTTATCTTGGTGGATAGAATGTTTATATCAGTGATGCTGCTGTTACCCAAAAACATATTTGAAGTTCCTCTTTTGACATTGCAAATTCTCATTTGAGATGCAACATGGTGAGTTGGGACCTGAATTGTAATCTTGGCAACTTCCTTAACTCTCTGAGCCTCCATTTCTTCATGAGGATGATTAAATCTATTCTGTAGTAGTGTTTGGCATCCCTGAGTGGTCCAAATGGTGAATCCACTTGGCTGCTAACTAAAAGGTTAGAGTTCACCCAGAAGCACCTCAGAAGAAAGGTCTGGCAATCTACTTCTGAAAGATCACAGCCATTAAAAAACCCTATGGAGCACAGTTCTACTTTGATACACATGAGGTTGCTGTGAGTCAGAGTTGACTTGACACAAATTGGTTTGTTAGTTTTGTTTTGTTTTTGTTTTTGTTTTTTTTTGTTATAGTAGTGTTTAGAAGATTAAAAGAGATAATCTGCATGATGCAACTAATACCTCAGGAGAAGTTAATAAATGCTGTTGCTAATTTTTCCTTTTATAAAAATAAGCAATCTCATTACAGGCAGTTCCTGGGTTGTGAACATCCAACCTACATACAACCCATAGTTATGAATACCTCGTAAAGCATATTATATTAAAAATCTGAGGGACATACAATGCTTCACAATAGCAAATGAGCACTACTTTGTGACACACATCAAAATATTATTATTACTGTATTATTATGTTAAAGATTTTTTAGTGTATCCAGAAGTGTTTCTTTAAAGTTTTTTGTGCATAGAAATGCACACTATATACTATATACTAAGACAAGCATTTGACTAAATGACATTAGATACAAACCATACCTAACTGTTCTGACTTACCTACAAATTCAACTTAAAGACAGACTTAAGAATGGAACTCATTCATCATCCAGGGACTGCCTGTACTGTATAGTGGCATTTTGTATGTACCAAATGACTCGTTTAGGAGACACCTATTTTTATGCATGAACATAAACTAGAGTACTGAATGGAAAGGCTGCTCTTTTCAGTAGGTACTATTCTCTCAAAGTCAACCTATAAATTTGTGTTTTTGTTTCTGTGGCTTTGTCAGGTTATAAGCCATGGTTTGATCCCCGGAGCAATTTAGAAAATAATGTAAAATACTCAGAGAACTGAAGGTAATACCACAGCAAGTATGCTTATGTTTTTGTTTTTGTCCAGAATTACCTAGAAAAGTTCTACCAATTGCCCAGGACTCAATTTAAGTCTGAAAGGAAGAACAGCGCTAGCGTGGTTGTTGAAAAGCTTAAAGTAATGCAGCTGTTCTTTGGGTTGAACGCAACAGGGAAGCCAGATGCTGAAACCCTGGAGATAATGCAAAAGCCTCGCTGTGGAGTGCCTGATGGTGGTGGTTTTATGGTAACCCCAGGAAACCCCAAGTGGAAACACATGAACGTGACCTACAGGTGATGTTTCTTGAGTTTCAGAATTCATACATTCAGCCAGTATTCATTGAGCTCTTAGGCTGTGCCAGAAACTGTTTTAGGACTTGGGATACACCAGGGATAAATAGACAAACATCCCTGCTCTTGTGGAGTTTAGATCCTAGTGAATGAGCATGAGGATGAAAGGGTAGCGATTCCATGGATTCTTTTCACTCCAAAGCCTGCCATTTTTGTCTTCCTTCACCAACGATCTAAAGGGGACCATAATGAAGTCAGGCTGTCTCTCTAAGCACTCACTTCAGGACCCCAAAAAGGTTTAATTATTACTGGGAAGAATCTAGATCAGGCTTGTTGATATACCCTGATAATAATGAAACAGCCTGTGATGGTTAATTTTATGTGTCAGCTTGACTAGGCTTTGGTTCCCAGTTGTTTAGCCAAACACTAATCTAGTTGCTGTCATGGAGTAGTTACATGTGGATATATCAGTTGGCCTTGGGTAGAGCAGATTAACTTCCACAGTGTAATGTAATATAATGTGATTACTTTACATCTAATGTAACATTGTGTAATCACCTTCTATAATGCAATCTAATGTAATCAATCAATCAGCTGAAAAGGGAGTTTCCCTAAAGTGTGTTCTGCCTACAGACTATAAATTAATGTTTTGGCAGAACTCTTACTTCACTCTTCATTCTACACTCTTTCTGTCACCTGACCTATGGGCATTCAACACTTTTTTTAATACTACTATTTGCCAGGTAGTGAACTAAATGCTTTACATGTATTTAATCCACACAGCACTCTATGAGAGGGGTACTATTTTACTATCTTCATTTTATGAACAAGGAAACTAAAGTTTAAAGACAAAGTAACTTGTCTAAAATCCTGAAGTTAAGCAGGGTCAAAATCCAGACATGAACTGATATCTCTCCTCAACCCAGAATCCTCATCCCCTGTTTATATCCTCCCCTGTGGTAACACATCACCTATGCAACTCACTCTAAGATAGAGCAACTCAATCTGTTGATAGCCTGTTCTGCACGATAATGAACTCTTCACACATCTTCTCACTTTGAAGGATTAGAAATTATCCCTCAGATTTGGCAAAGGCTGAGGTGGAAAAAGCTATTAAGAAAGCCTTTAAAGTCTGGAGCCGTGTTTCGCCCCTGAGCTTCACCAAGATCTCAGAGAGAAAAGCAGACATCGAGATTAGTTTTCTTGTAAGAGGTAATCTCAAAGCAATCATCCTCAATTTTACTTTCCATTGTTAACTTGAGACTCAGCAAAGATTCAATATGAATTGTTTTATTTCAGATCATGGTGACAATTCTCCATTTGATGGACCCAACGGAATCCTTGCTCATGCCTTTCAACCAGGCCCAGGTATTGGAGGAGATGCCCATTTTGATGCAGAAGAAAAATGGACCAACACCTACGAAAGTAAGTTAACCAAGGCTATGTCCACATGTACTTTTTGAATGAACCTTTTCCACATTAGAATCAATGCCCACATCCAAGTTACTGTCACATTTCAAACTCACCCTAACTGACGATTTAAATTTTTTGCTGCCTTAGGATATTAAGTTACCTTAGGTTAAAAAATCCTGAGGCTACTTACTGACCTCCTTTTCTAGGGCAGGAATCAAAAAATACAGACCAGCGTCAAATCCCACCTGGCCCCTTGATTTATGGATAATGTTTTATTGGAACAGGTCCACACATTTACTTACATATTGTCTATGGCTGCTTTCAGTCTACAATGGCAGAGCTGAATAGCTGTGACAGAGACCACATGGCCCACAAAAGCTAAAATATTTTCTATCTGTCCCTTTACAGAAAAAGTTTGCTGACCTCCACTTTAAAGTATATCTTTCTTTTGATATTTTGAAACTTAATAATGTTTAGAAAAGGCCCCTATTTTTTGAAATCCAGAAATAACTGGGTTCCTTTACAAAAATGGCCCTGTTTAGAAAAGAGCAGTCATCTTTTTCACCTAGCTATTGCATTTTCACAAAGCTCTTTTTCAATGATATGTTCCCATATAGCAAACCACTCCTTTCAGAAGAAGGCTTATAATAAGAAGGGCTGGCCCCTGCAAGGAAGAAAAGAGGCTAAGGACAGGTCTATCAATACTATATGGCATTTTACCAGGCCATGGGATAATAATACACCACGGAGCACCTTTTAGTTAATAACTGGAGAGACACTATTTATCTTTGCTTGCCACCTGTTCCTCTTGCCATTTTTTCAACATATATGTTGTGGCTATTACACCTAAATCCCTGCGCTAGGAGCTGTATGTACCCAAAGACACATAAGAACTCTCCACGGCTTTGTATTCCTGTTACTCTCCCCACTAGTCAGATGATCATTATCTCTTACCTCAACTAAATGACCCAGGTTCCTAACTGGATTCTTCACCTCCAACCTCTGCTCCCTCTAATTTTTCCTAGGTGCAGCAGGATTTGTCATTGAAAAGCCAACCTTGGAACATATTACTCTTCTGCTTAAAACTTTCAGTGTTTATATGTTCTATACCAACTAAGGTCTAAACATTTTCGCTTGGCATTGACAGCTCTTGGTGAATTTCTGCCCTAGTTTTTCTTGCTGTATCTTCATATTCCATAAGTACCAGCCAACACTGCCCCATTCCCTGTTCCAAGATCACATCTTGTGCTTTCCACCTTCCCTAAGTTTGTTCATATTGTTTCTTCCTCCTGAAATACCCTTCCCCATACACCAAGTCCCACCTTTCAAACTCTCTCTCATCTTTCAGTGCTCTGTCAAATGCCACCTGCTGTCTTGCCTTTCAGCCGGAAATGAGTCCTTTCTCCACAGAATCACAATAGCCCTTTTCTTCTGCCTCTTTAACTACCTCATTATTCTGTCCATTTAAGAATTACTACAGGAAATTGAACATTGTGGTAAGAGCACGGGTTTTGAACTTGGGTTGAACCCTAGCTCCGACTTACTAATTGTAAGATCAAGAATAAGACACTCAAAATCCAAAGGCCTCAGTTCCTTTACTGTAAAATATTGTTAATGATACCTATTTAACAAAAATGCTGTGAAGATTAAAAATATTGCACATGGATATTGTCTAGCATAAGGTAAGCACCTTACAACTATGACTATATTGTTGGTTAAGGTGGGCATGTAGCAAAGTATAGGGTATTTTGTGAGAAAGCTGGAGTGAAGGATTTCCATCAGGGAACCAAAGAAGTCAAAATGTCTCTTGGAGCCAGGTGAGTGAAGCTCTGAAAGTCTGTCATGAAAGGCACTATGCTAGGAGACATTAAAAGATGGGCAAGGGAGCTATAAGGGACTTCTCACTTTCCAATCGAGCATTTCTAGAACTGGTTGGAGAGCTCAGGAACAGGGAAGAGCCAGTGCTAGGCTGTACATGATTAGGGAGCCATTATGAGTTGGCCCTGCATCCAAGGTTCCTCTGCTGCCTGGTAGGCTTATTTTCTAACTACCTACTCATTGAGACTCTACTAATGAGACTGCGGGCCTGGGAAACTGAAGAGGGATGGGTATAGGAGCACAAGAGGAGTAGGATTTAGAGAGACCTGTGGTGGCTTTGCCGCTGACAAATTTTGTGACCATCATTTCTCAAAATCCCAGGCCCAAATTCATAAAATGTGGGAATTGGAATAATTGCAGCTTTTCTTGGTCTAAGATTTGACGAGAAGCTCATACTCACCTAATCCTAACCTATGACTGCCAGCTTGATTCGTCCCAGTCTCCATTTCTTTGTGTACCTGACGGGAAGGTGAAAAAGATGGGGTGGAGGGCTGTTCCTCCAGGCAGTTTTGCCTTGGAAGCTACTTTCTTTGAAATTGTATTTCCACCACCCTTAGAGCCATTCACCACATACGCTTGCATTTCAGATTACAACTTGTTTCTTGTTGCTGCTCATGAATTTGGCCATTCACTGGGGCTCGCTCACTCCTCTGATCCTGGTGCCTTGATGTATCCCACCTACGCTTACAGAGACCCCAATACATACTTGCTCTCTCAAGATGACATCAATGGCATCCAGGCCATCTATGGTAAGGTCACCTGAACAACACTATAGCACTATAGTCCTCGGTGGGAGATGGGGATAGGAACCAACAGGCTCAGGATCTGAGCATCTCCCTTTGCACTTCTCTCAGATTCTCTCCTCTGGGAAAGCTCAAACTGACCTCTGAAAGTTACCTGTAGCTAATATAGCATAACAAAGGAGGCCTGGGGATGGGGAGCTGAGCCTCTATTGCTGCCTCAAGGAAAAGAATAGGAAGAAATGCACCACAACTATTTTCAATAGTTATCTCTAGATGGTGGTAATATTTTTCCCTCCTCCTTCTTGCTTCCCACATTTTATAGATTTTTAAAAAGATATGACTGTCCCTTTTGATAAAGCAATCCTGCTCCTCAATCCATTTCCCTCCCAAAAATCTCACATAGACCCTCAAGGGGACATGTACAAGGTATGCCAAGGATGTTCGCTACAGTTTTGTCTGTGGTGGTGGAAGCTGGAGGGAAGTTGAGGGTCTATCATGAGGAGAATGTGCAGGTAAAATGGGGTATGGTGCAATCAGAGGCGTTGAATTTGATGTGCATATGGCAACAAAGTAGATGGATCTTTAAAATATTGTGCTTAGTGAAAAAGAAACAGAATGATACTTATTAGACAATGTATAAATTATATCACATGATATGTATATCTAAGTAAATTAAAAATGTATACAGACAAAGCATGTTCAAGAATACATACCAACAAAACGATTTATACTGAACGTATTAAAATTGTTTCCTGTGGAGACGGGGCGGAATGGAAGTAGAGTATGGGGAGGAAAAGAAACATTTTTTAAAAAGGCATGACTGACACTTCTCAGGGAGGAGTATAGGGGTTTTTGCCTTGCCATAAGAAGTACTGCCTGGGTAAAACCATTGCATTTTTCCTCCCTTTTTTCCTCCTACCCCCTACTAGTTGTGAGGAAGAACAAGAAACCAAGGAAGGGGTTTTTATTGTTTGTTTAGGCGCCACTGAGTAAGTTTGTGACTCATAGCAACCCCGTGTGACAGAGTAGAACTGCCCCATAGGGTTTCCTAGGCTGTACTCTTTACAGGTTTTCACTGGCTAATTCTTTTCAGAAGTAGACTGCCGGGTCCTTCTTCCTAGTCTGTCTTAGTCTGCCATGGGTAACCCCGCTGGTATCTGAATACTGGCAGCATAGCTTCCAGCATCACGGCAACACGCATGCCCCCACAGAACGACAAACTGACAGACAACAATCTTTAGAGGAGTAGATCTCCAGGTTTTTCTCCCATTAAGGGGTTCAAACCGCCAACCTCTCCAGTTTAGCGCTCCATTAAACAGTGTAGAATGGAGTGGAGTGGAGAGGAATTGAGGAAAGCACTCGCCACTCTCTGGTGGGAAAGGACTAGAAAACCAAGCCGGCCAGGGTACCACAACCATGGAATTTCTTTCATGATAATAGAATTTCTAAGAATGAGAAGCCCTACTCTAATTGCCTTTACTCCTCAACTCCTTTCTCCCCCACCGTCACATTTTTTGCTCACCAGTGTTTTAAATTCCCATAACTAATAGCACAGCCTTTAATTCTACAATGAGAAAATGGGTTAAAACAAAAATATTTATATCTACAATGAGAAAAGAGGTTAAAACAAAAATATTTATAAAGAAAAGATATTAAAACTCAACTTAGATTTACTCTGTGGTGTAAAAGACTGATAACCAGATCTTTCCTGGTAGTGGGTTTTGATGGGGAAGGAGTAAGTGGATACTGTTGTTGTTGTTGTTAGGTGCCGTCGAGTCGGTTCTGACTCATAGCAACCCTGTGTACAACAGAACGAAACACTGCCCGGTCCTGCGCCATCATCATGATCATTGTCATGCTTGAGCCCATTGTTGCAGCCACTGTGTTAATCCATCTTGTTGAGGGTCTTCTTCTTTTTCGCTGACCCTCTGTTTTACCAAGCATGATGTTCTTCTCCGGGGACTGATCCCTCCTGATAACGTACCCAAAGTATGTGAGACGAAGTCTCACCATTCTTGTTTCTAAGGTGCATTCTGGCTGTACTTCTTCCAACCCAGATTTGTTCATTCTTTTGGCAGTCCATGGTATATTCAATATTCATCAACACTATGATCCAAGCTGCCAATTCTTCTTCAGTCTTCCTTATTCATTGCCCAGCTTTCCCCTGCATATGAGGAGATTGAAAACACCACGGCTTGGGTCATGGGTCTTAGTCCTTAGAGTGACATCTTCACATTTTAACGCTTTAAAGAGGTCTTTTGCAGCAGATATGCCCAGTGCAATGCGTTGTTTAATTTCTTGACTGCTCCTTCCTTGGGGGTTGATTGTGGATCCAAGTAAAGTGAAATCCTTGACAGCTTCAATCTTTTCTCCATTTATCATAAAGTTGTTTATTGGTCCAGTTGTGAGGATTTTTGTTTTCCTTATGTTGAGGGGTAATCCATAGTGAAGGCTGTGGTCTTTGATCTTCATCAGTAAGTGCTTCAAGTTCTCTTCGCTTTCAGTAAGCAAGGTTGTATCACCTGCATATCATAGGTTATTAATAAGTGGATACCGAGTGACCAAAAAAGGGGAAAGAGACACCAAGAAGGGGGAGAAGCAGGAGAGTAGGATTAAAAAAAAAAATGGATAGGTTTAGAATTCAAATTTCTTTACTTCACAACTAAACCTGGAGCTGTCTCTGAAGACCATCGTTCATCGTATTAAAAAAAAAAAAAAAACTTTAAGAGGGCCAAATCTACAGTTATTTTAATGCCTCTTGGAATAGTCTGGTAGCATTTCTCTTCATATGAAAACCCTTTATCTTTCTGAAAAACATCTAAAGTATCCTAATAGTCACACTGAACTTTGCTTATAAAACACCACGCCCTATTTTTTAACAGGATCTTCGAGCGACCCTATCCAACCCACTGGACCAAGCACTCCCATAGCCTGTGACCCCAGATTGGCATTTGATGCTATCACCACCCTCCGAGGAGAAATATTTTTCTTTAAAGACAAGTATAAGATTGAATTATTCCTTCTTTTGACTTCTCTTAACTGGCATAACTTAAAACTGGATTCTAATTAAGTCATACATTTCCCAGGTTTTCCTTTGAATTCTACACCTATTCATCTCCTTGAAATTTTTTTAGTTGTTTCTGGGTTACTCGAAACATCCGGAGGTGGGGGAGACTAAAACCTTCACAAACATTCAGATATTTCTGGTGATATAAACAGACATGCACTGTATCTGCTTGGGAACGCTATAGCTAGGTTTACCTGGCACTAAAACATCATTCAGTTCTATCCAAAACTAGTCAAGTAAAATGGAAACTATCACCTTACTAGCTGTGGAGTCAATCACCTAACTGACTGGATTCTTCACTTCCCCATTGCTATTCTGTGATTGTGTAATCAGAGACTGACCCCCTGAGTAGTGCGAACAGTTAGGCACCGACTAACCTACCCAGAGGTGCCTTAAAAGAGAGGCCTTGGTGATCTGCTTACAAAAGGTCATAGCCTTGAAATCTCTATGGAGCACAGCTGAACTCTGCAACCCATGGGATCACCAAGAGTTGAAACCAATTCCATGGTGACTAGTTGGTTTTGTTTTTTTTGTTTTTGTGTTTATAATACAGAGATTGAGCATATTTGCTATTGCCTACTGTTGATGGCTATATATTCTATCATTTTCTGGGAACAATAATGAACGATACTAACAAATGAAGATTTGCCATTGTGTGAGGAAGGGACAATGCAAAGTGGAATCAAATAAGACCATTCCTCTGAACTCCTCTGAAAACCATAAAGTGCTCATCAGATGGATAATATCACCATAAGCTCTGGTCATGTGCTGGCCACTGTGTTAGGAACTTTGCATCCATCATCGTATTATATTCTCCCAGCAATCTTAGGAAGTGTCAAGACTAGCCCAAGACTCACAGAAGCTGCCCATTTAATCTGTTGTGTATGTGATTTTTTTCCGTTGTGTTTCTTTATATTCTTTAGGTACTTCTGGAGAAGGCACCCTCAGCTACGAATAGTCCGACTAAACTTTATTTCTCTATTCTGGCCATCCCTGTCAAATGGAATACAGGCTGCTTATGAGGATTACGATAGGGACATGATTTTCTTATTTAAAGGTAATTGCCTAAGGTTTTCAACTTACTTTTAGTTCTGCTTGAAGGTAGTGGGCAGGACTTCTTTGTGGTCCTGTCTTAGTTGCCTAGTGCTGCCGTAATACATCTACATTTTAAAGGGCAGAAATTTATTTTTTCACAGTTCAGCAATCTACAAGTCCAAATTCAGGGTATGGCTATAGGGAGAATCCCCTGTTTGTCTAGTCCAGCTCTTAGTAGCTGCCGGCAATCCTTATAGATATATATATCCCCCTCATCTGTCTTGTTCTCCCTGTGTGTGTCTCTGCGTCCATTTGCTCCTTTTATATTCAGGAGTGATTAGGTTTAGGACCCACACTACTCTTGTATGACCTAATTAACATAACAAAGAAAACTCTATTTCCAAACAGAATCATTTTTATAGGTATGGGGTCAGGATTTCAACGTATATTTTGGGAGGACACATTTCAACCTACAGCAGGCCCCTTCCAGGTTCAGAAGAGGTGAGCCAATGAGAGAACATTTTGCTGGCCAGGTTTTGTCAGGTTACTTGAGTCGGTCCCATCTCTGTCGCTAACTGCTCTGTGAACTTAAGCAAATAGTATGCTCTTCAAACCTCAGTTTTCTCATCTACAAAATGAGAGGACCATATCAGGCCATCTTTAGTGTTCCTCTGCCTCCACCCGGCTGTAATATTTTAAGATTCCCCAAGGCTGTAATTTAATCTCTGTATAGAAGTCATGCGAGATAAAACATCCAATTGTGGGGTCCTCGAATATCAGCCTAAGAAGTCTGAATTTTTTTAAAGGGGTTGGGGAACTGCTAGGCATATCATAATCCCATGGACTTAATTTTACCATCTTCATCTTTTAAAGACTATTGTTCTAGGATGTATTTTAATATCTATGCTGTATCTATATAAGAAGTGGTGCACATTATTTTGTAAAAATGGAAGAATTTCATCTAACATATAACCTGAATCATTGGCAGGCAGACGATACTGGGCTGTGAGTGGCTATACTATTCAGCAAGGTTATCCCAGGGATATATCAAACTATGGTTTCCCCAGGAGTGTCCAAGCCATTGATGCCGCTGTTTCCTACAGCGGAAAAACATACTTCTTTGTAAATGATCAATTCTGGAGGTAAGATTACCTATTTTTTTTCAATTAGATGTTGAAATCTGCATTTCTTTATGCCATCCACAAACTACTAAGGATGATAAAAATTCAGGAATTTTTTCAGGAAAAATTTTAGGTGGTCTTTGATAGGGTTTAGTCAAAAAATATTACTTTTCATAATATGATTGTTAGTGCTTTGGCTTTTGAAAATTTTGTTTTATGAACTCAAATGACTGCTCAATAGCATGGAGGATTCTCTATCATGGAACAGAGCAAACCTTAATAAAACACTAGGGTGGGACGCAAAGAAAGTGTTAGGCCAAGTCTCCTTTATGAGTTAAGTCCTGACACCCTCAAACATTATGCAAATCGCCTACAGAGTTTGGTGTCCAAGTTGGACTTACTTATATTTATTCACACACACATATATACACACACACATATACACATAGTTGTACCAATTAAGTACAACCCTTAGTAAATATGAGCTCTTAGTTTTGGGAAAAAAACACTTCATCAGCAATCAGAAGCCTATTTTAGTATTAATAATACTGATATCTTTTATAACTGGGTGTGTATTCTTAGGTAGAGAAGTTAACCATTCTTAATTCCAATAAATACAGCATTGTGAGGACTGGCTGAGAAAATATATGCAAAGGCACTTTGTGAAGTATGTACAATTTAAAGAGAACTGTTACCATTATACACCATATTTGTCTTAAAACATGCAACATTTTTTCCCCCTCAGATATGATAACCAAAGACAATTCATGGAACCAGGTTACCCCAAAAGCATAGCAAGTACCTTTCAAGGAATACAAAGTAGAGTTGATGCAGTTTTCCATCAAGATCGTAAGTAGGGAAAAAAAATTAATAACTTTGTTCAATTTTTTTTTAAATGTTTGCAGTTGAGTGTTATATTGGGACAGGTAGGGGTTTGTAATTGAAAATGTCTGAAACTGTACTTCTACAAGCTAATTCAACAAATTTTTTCTCTCTCTTTTTTTTTTATAGACTTCTTCCTTTTCTTCAGTGGACCAATATATTATGCATTTAATCTTAATGCTCGTAGAGTTACTAGAATTGACAGAAGCAATAAATGGCTTAACTGTAGATAAAGTTTAAGCAAACTCAAACATGCATCCATTTTCTGAATGTTAATGGTAGGCAAATTCAATTTGCATATTCCTTACATCATGTCCTGTCTATACTTTTCTCAGCAATAAATGGTAATGCTGTTTGCCATCACTATATTCATTAGGCCTGTCCTCAATGAAAATATGTTTGGAATATTCCCCTGCTAGCAGAGGCTAATTCACTTCTTACATATTCCATCTCAGGTTAGTCCATCTATCACAATAGAAACACAGGAGAGTAAGCCCTCTTTTTCACCTCAATATTCACTATTTCATTACTTGCTTATCTGACTTCTAAAATGTTTGTATTTTCCTAAGTTTCTTTAAGCATATCTTAAGTGTGTCTGCTAAATACAATTTAACACCAGATTTTAGTTAGAAATAAGGATTACAAACAACATAGACGATACTCCTTGACTTTACTGAAAATGTGGTGCTATTTTCCACTCTTGGAAAGAAACATGGTTGGTACTTCTGTACGTAAGGAGCCCTAGTGGCAAGGTGGTTAAGTGCTGGCCTGCTAACTGAAAGGTTGTTAGTTTGAACCCACTCACTGGGGAGAAAGACCTGGTGATCTGCTTCTGTAAAGACTAAACCAAAAAAGAACTCATTGCCATTGAGTCAATTCCTACTCATAGCAACGCTATAGGACAGAGTAAAACTGCCCCCATAGGGTTTCCAAGGCTGCAATCTTTATGGAAGCAGACCGGCACATCTTTCTCCTGCAGAGCGGCTGATGGGTTCAAACCACTGGCCTTTCGGTTAGCAGCCCAGTGCTTAATCACTGCACCACCAGGGCTCCTTTTCCATAAAGATTACAGCCTTGGAAACCCTATGGGGCAGTTCTACTCTGTCCTGTAAGGTGGCTATGAGTTGGAATAGACTCCATGGCACACAACAACTTCTGTACTTAAAATGAATCAACACAGAATGCCAAGGTTGAACCGCCATTGAGGCTAATCAGACATCTCCCCAGGGGAACAGCAGAGTGGAGATGTACCACTTCCTCTCTTGCCTTCTCCTGCTCTCTCCTTCTAGAGTCCAAGTAAACGGCTAGTTGGATCTGTTGTTCCTTATTTCTTTATTTCCTGAGGGGCTTGGGAGGACACGCTTTACAAACAGTCGGGATTTACTGCACAAACAGTACAGTTCTGGGCGCAAAATTAAATAAATCCCATTGAACTGAATTAAACAGCTTAGAGGCATACATTTGCTAATAGATCTTTTCTGATAAAAACTTTAGATGTAGAACCAAAATGTCTAGCCCAGACATCAAAATGTCTTATTGGCAATTAGGATGCAATGCAGTTTATTACAATAAAATTGTGGCTTGTAAAATACATTTCTCCTAGCACATTCTGTTTTCTGTCTCCAATTAAGTCCTTAAATTTCACGGACAACTAATTTAGTATATAATTTGCTCCTTATTCTGGTTCAAAAATCATCTATTAAGTGAGTTTGAAATAAAGATTTCAAACTTCAAAAAACTTTCAATAGAAGTTTGAAATTACTGATTCTTGACCTACTTATAATTTTAAAAAAATCACCACATAGTTTATCTAAGTATAAACAATAAATGGCAAATTTCAGATATATGTTTAACCGTTTATTCCCTTGTCAGAATTATTGTACTATTGATAATAAACTTTCAGAAACTGCTTAACTGTTCATGAAATATTATATAAATACTTAATATTCTTTAAAAAATTCCTTTGGATATGCTAGAAGATTATTCTTAACTTATTTTATAAGGTGGATAGACAGAAACTAGTATATACTATCATTTCACTCAGCCGTCCATTTATTCAACTAGAATTAATTAATCACTTACATGTTCCAGGTGCTGCATTATGAGAAAGATATATAAACAATTCATTGCACCAATTAACAAGGGTAAAAGGATCTGTAAAAACTGAGTTTTGCATTTTTAGTAGTAGAACCCCGTTCAGACTATTGGGTTTTATAAAACTTCCTAAAAGGGTAGTTTTTTACAGTAAAAAAGAAAGGGAGATTCATCTCAGAACCCCTGCCAGCTGTGCTGGCTAGTTATTATAGATTTTTGGCCCAAATCTGATTTATCATTTTTGAGATGAGAACTGAGTTCATATTATTTTTCTAACCATATTTCACAGTCATAGGAAGTGAGCTGCAACATGAAGTATAATAAGGAATTTAAAAATTATTTGTTCCTTTTTATTTTGTCTTTTTGACAGCATATAGTATTTTCTGGCTGTTACATTGAAGTTTTCTGTGAGCACAAGAGATGTAAGGATCTAAGCTTAGAATTAAAATAATGAGATTACTTTTAATCTTAGGTTGAGTTTCTTCAAAAGCAGAGCTTAAGACAAGAACTTGGGGATAGTTATTTTACTCTGGATGTGGTCCCAGGAAGCAAGTGAGGTAGCAAGCAGAGTGAGACAGAGAAGGAGGAGAAGCCAATATAAGGATATGCTGTCAAGGCTACTGCTATGGGCAACTTGGGCTCCGTTCCACCAGGACCTCCTGAGAAGCCTACAGAATACCTTTCAATTGTCCAGCCAGTGCACAGGAGGCTGGAGTGTTCATCCACCAGTTCCCATCTCCCATTGGTTGAGGCTTGTCCCTGGGGGTGTTAACTCCCTTACACTTCTGATCTGGCAGGCTTCTGTGGCATCTCAGTGCCCTGGGCAGATAGTGGGAAGGCACACTGCATGTACTTGAGGTTGGACTTGGTCAGAGCAAGGTGAGTATGAGATTATACAAACCTGTCCACAACCACTGCAACTAAAATCAAAAGTTTGCCAAGAGGATATGACACAGAAAACCAGGGCCATTTTCTATGTCTTTGTGGCTGGGAGATTAAAGAAAAACATTTCTAGATGCTGACACTGGGAAATCTCAATATGACAGTCCACTGGTTGCACAGTGGTTAAGAACCTGGCTGCTAACCAAAAGGTCAGCAGTTTGAATCCACCAGCTGCTCCTTGGAAACCCTATGGGAGCAGTTCTACTCTGTCCTATTGGGTCACTATGAGTTGGAATTGACTTGACGACAATAGGTTTTTTTTTGGACACTGGGGAAATCTCAGTATGGCAGAGCCTGCTAATTACCTACCCTAACATCCATTCTCCCTTCCTCCTCTGCAATGAGACCTCAGTTTCCTTCAGGGTAGCAATGCATCCAGCTAAAGGGCAATATTTTGTGGCCTCCTTACAGCTAAATGTGGCCATGTGTTTAAGTAAGTTCTAGCCAAAAATTTGTAAGCAGAATGTTGTGTGGGGCTTCTAGAAAAAGACTAGAAATTTTCTTCTTCTCCGCCTTCCTCTTTCCTGCTATCTGTAATACAGATACAATAGTTAAAACTTGAGAAGCCACCTTGAATCATGAGGCAAGGCACTCAGATAGTGGTGCAGCAAGGTAGATGTTGCCTACATCCTTTATGGTGCAGAGTTGTCATGCAAGTCCGGGATTGCCAAATCTGGGCTTCTTTTATGTCAGAGATGAATAAATTTTAAATTTTATTTAAGTGTCTGTTATTTTGGGTTTATCTGTCATATTTAACCAAAGAATATTAGGTTACTATTTATTACAGGGAAAAGATACAGATTGAAAATGAGCCAAAGGAAGAAACACATAGGGCAGGGTCTGGGACAGTTCCAAATGCAGAGCTTCCATTGTTATCTCCCCACGGAGTCAGGATCCATTACTCTCTTGGAATTGATGCAAGACAATAAGCACAGAGTATTGCCAACCAGGGAAGGTCAGTGTTCAGAATTTTCACTGGGACTCCATTACATAGGCATGATTGATTGATTGCCCACATGGTTGATCTCAGTTTCCAGGTCAACTGATAGCAAGTACCTCAAAGCCCCCACCCTAAATCACATGGTTGCTGTTTCTAGTGCAGCCAGCACCTACCCTAAGACCATGGATTATGGCCACCCTTCCCCTCCCCAAAATAAAGACACTCCTATCAGGTATAATATTGCTTACTTTCCAGATCTAAGGGCAAAGGCCAGATCTCTCTTTGGGCAAGGCCAAATTCTTTACTACACACTGGATAAAGAGATTTCTAAAACTTTTCAGAAAAAAAAAATTAAAAATATCAAGAATCAGAATAGAAGATGTCTCAATGATAACACTCAATTCTGGAAAGCAATGGGACAGTACTGTCAAAATTTTAAGAAAAAATTATTTTAGCTGAAATTCTATATCCAGTCACGCTATCTATCAAGATTCAAAACATTTCTTTTCTGAAAATGTTCTACATTCTACTTTGGTGAGTAACATCTGGGGTATTAAAAGCTTGTGAGCGTCCATCTAAGATACTACACTGGCCTCACCCTGTCAGGAGCAAGGGAGAATGATGAAAACCAAAGACACAAGGGAAAGATTAGTCCAAAGGACTAATGGACCACAGCTACCACAGCCTCCACCAACCTGAGTCCAGCACAACTAGATGGTGCCCAGCTACCACCACTGACTCCCCTGACAGGGATCACAACAGAGGGTCCCAGACAGAGATGGAGAAAAATGTAGAACAAAATTCTAACTTACAAAAAAAGACCAGAGTATATTCACACTATGGAATACTATGCAACGATAAAGAACAACAATGAAGCTGTGAAACATCTTATAACATGGAGGAATCTGGAGGGCATTATGCTGAGTGAATTTAGTCAGTCACAGAAGGACAAATATAGTATAATACCACTATTATAAAACTCATGAAAAGGTTAAAATACAGAATAAAACATTCTCTGATGGTTATGAGGGTGAGGAAGGACGGTAAGGGTTATTCACTAACTAGATAGTAGACAAGAATTATCTTAGGTAAAGGGAAGGACAGCACACACTACAGGGGAAGTCAGCACAACTGGACTAAACCAAAGTTAAGAACCTTCCTGAATATACTCAAACACTTCAAGGGACAAAGTAGCAGGGGCAGGGGTCTGGGGACCATGCTTGCAGGGACATTTAGGCCAATTGGCATAACAAAGTTTTTTAAGAAAATGTTCTGCATCCTCCTTTGGTGAGTGGTGTCTGGGGTCTTCAAAGCTAGCAAGCGGCCATCTAAGATGCATCAATTGGTCCCAACCACCTGGAGTAAAGGAGAATGAAGAACACCAAAGACACAAGGAAAGCATTAGCCCAAGAGACAGAAAGGGCCACACAACCCAGAGACTTCATCAGCCTAAGAACAGAAGAATTGGATGGTACCCGGCTACCACCAATGACCACCCTGACAGGGAACACAAGAGAGAGTCCCTGATGGAGCAGGGGAAGGGTGGGATACAGGACTCAAATTCTAGTAAAAAGGCCAGACTTAATGGTCTGACTGAGACTAGAGGAACCCCAGAAAGCATGGCCCCCAGACTCTCTGTCAACCCAGAACTAAAACAATTCCCGAGGCCAACTCTTCAGACAAAGATTGGACTGGACTGTGGGACATAAAGTGATATTCATGAAGACTGCGCTTCTTAGCTCAAGTAGATACAGGAGACTAAATGGGGAACTTCTGTCTGGAGGTGAGATGAGAAGGCAGAGAGGGTTAGGAGCTGGTTGAGTGGACACAGGAAATCAAGGGTGAAAAGGAGGAGTGTGCTGTCACAGTACAGGGAGACCAATTAGGGTCACGTAACAATGTATGTCTTAATTTTTGTATGAGAGACTAACTTGAATTGTAAACTTTCACTTAAACTACAATTTTAAAAAAAGAATATTATCTGATATAGTGCTAGAAGATGGCACAGGACTGAACAATGTTTCATTCTGTTATACATAAAGTTGCCATGAGTTGGAGATGACTCAATGGCAACTAACAAAAACAAAACAAAGAACAGACTTACTGGCCTGACAGAGACTTGAGAAACACCGAGAATATGGCCTCCAGACACCCTTTTATCTCATAATGAAGTCACTTCTGAGGTTCACCCTTCAGACAAAGATTAGACAAGTCCATAAAACAAAATGAGACTAAAGAGACACACCAGCGCAGGGGCAAGGACTAGAAGGCAGGAGGGGACAGGAAAGCTGGTAATAGGGAACCCAAGGTCAAGAAGGGAGAGTGTTGACATGTTGTGGGGTTGTTAACCAATGTCATAAAACAACACGTGTACTGTTTAATGAGAAGCTAGTTTGTTCCGTAAACCTTCATCTAAAGTACAATAATAAAAAATTTTAAAAATTAAAAAAAAAAAGAAATACCATCCAAAACCCCCCCCAAAAAAAAAAAAAAAAGAAGCAGTAGGAGGGAGGAAAAGAACATATGGACATATGGCTTTGGAACCCCTTCAAAAAAAAAACATTTCTTTTCCTTGCACTGTTAGTTTCCTTGGGCTGCCACCACAAAGTACCACAAATCGGGTGGCTTGAAATGTCAGAAATTTTATTGTCTCACAGTTCTGGAGGCTAAAAGTCAAAAAATCAAGGTGCTGGCAGGGTTGATTCCTTCTGAGGATCTGAGAGAGAATGTGTTCCATGTTCCTCTCCTACCTTCTGGTGTGGGTCAGCTATCCTTGGCTTCCTTGTCATTTCAGTGTCTGCCTCCCTCTTCACATTGCCATTTCCTTCTCTATCTCTCCTACCTTTTTTTAAGGCCGTCCCCCTCTCCCATCCATCTACATATGCGTTTACTCCAGTGGGGCCATGTTGCCTACTGCCCTATACTCATTTCTGTTGTACTACCTGCTTCCTATGTCTCCCTCTACTCGTACACCCTCTCCCTTCCTCTGTGCAATCCACATTTTACTGGCTCATCAAGACTTAGTCTGAACCCCACGTGCATGGAGTCTTATGAGCCACACCCATCAGCAGTGAATGTCACCTTTTGGCCCTGGTTGGTCTTTATAATCTGTTCTGTGTATTTTGCCACTTGCCTCCACTTTGTCTTGCATTACCAGTTGCCGTCAAGATGATTTCGACTCATGGGGACCCCATGTGTGTCAGAGTAGAACTGTATTCCATAGGGTTTTCAAGGCTTTGACCTTTGGGAAGCAGATCACCAGGCCTTTCTTCTGAGGTGCCTCTGGGTGTGTTCGAACTGCCAACCTTTTGGTTAGCAGTTGAGAGGGTTAACTGTTTGCTCCACCCAGGGACTCCTGTCTTGCATTAGTGCAAACAGATAAACACTTGACTGTTTATGTCTGCATTCTCCAATAAGATCAGAGAGATACCTTACCCATGCTTGCGTTTACAGTGAAATAGTCGAATAGCGGGTGCTCAAAAGACATTTGATGAATTAGCTAATTAGAGTAATCCAATTCCTGATTCAATGGTCTTTTTATGACACACTACCAAGATGTTTCGGTGTTTCATTCAAAAGAAGATCTTTTTGTAAACTCTCAAGTATTTATGGATCCAAAAACTCCAACTTTGCAAGGACAAAAGTAACTTAGAGACTCACTTCATGGAATATTAAATTAAATGATGAAAAATGATTGTGTTTACAAAACAATTGCAGATCTGGTGGCAAAATCTGGCCAACCTAGGAAAGGAAAAAAAAAACTCATACCATGACACACTTCATGGCAAAGTCACTTTCTGTTGTTAATTAAGCGATGATACAAACCAATTCATGCCACGTCTCAACACTATTATTTTCTAAATTCTGTGCAAACAGAACCAGACCTCAACTGAAGAGAGAGAGGAATGAAGAGCCTTTTGTTTACATTTTTGCTCTTTATAACATTTTCTTCTGCGTTTCCAACAGACCAAAGGATGGATAATGAAGAAAATATGCAACTGGCTCAGGTACTGTCTCAATAAATGGTGCTAACAGACTATCAATAAAATTAATTTTATCAATTGTCTTGGGACCTAAAAAAGACTGTAAATTCCTACAAAAGAGTACCAAACTTTCTTGTGAGAAGCTGCTTTTCCTTTTCCCAGCTCTAAGGACATCAAGGAACTGTGTATGGGGTAGAGGGCAGAGGCAGGGATGTGGGGAAGCCAGGATTTGCTACAACTCTAAACAATGGTTAGAAGTGAAGGGTAGTTAGTGAGAGGAGAAAGCGGACAGACTTAAAAGAAAAAAGAGATCTCTATAAAAGCATTTTGACCAGTAGGACCCAAACTATGGTTTGGGCCCCTTATCCTTATATGTATGTAAGATACATAGCTTTGGAGATCTCCTAAAAAATTAGCCCAGTTAATTTGCCATATTTGGTTAAACCGATTTAATTTTTAAAATGGATAATCACCTATGTCTTCTAGAATTTGTTTCAAGGAAACACCAGAATGAAAGTAAGAGAAAAATATGTAAAATATATCATCATTTAACATGTAGAAGGTTGATTCTCTTCTTTGGAGATTTGGAGTTTTGTGGGCTGTGTGGTTTGGCTAATTCTGGTCACACATAGCTCTGCCAATTCTTGAAAATTGAAAGAGCTGGGTGACTTTTCTTCATCTTTCCTTCTTTCCTTTCTTCTTTCCTCCCTAGCCCCTTCCTGTCTCTCATTCCTTATTTCCTTTTTACCTCCCTACTGCCAAAGAAGATTTCTGGCAATTTTGTTTTCTCCTGAGATGGAAGTTTTGCTCTCCTGTAGTCTGTGCCTTTTTTGTCTTTTTGGTCAGGCATATCTCAACCAGTTCTACTCTCTTGAAATAGAAGTGAGTCATCTCGTTCAAAGCAAGAACAGGAGTCTTATAGCTGGCAAAATTCGAGAAATGCAAGCATTTTTTGGATTGACGGTGACTGGAAAACTGGACCCAAACACTCTTGAGATCATGAAGAAACCCAGGTGTGGGGTGCCCGATGTTGGTCAGTATGGCTACACTCTCCCTGGGTGGAGAAAACATAACCTCACATACAGGTAATGCTTCTGCCAACTTAAAAAAACCCAGTTGCCATCCAGTTGACTCCAACTCATGAAGATCCTATGTGTGTCAGAGTAGCACTGTGCTCCACAGAGCTGTCAATGGCTGATTTTCAGAAGTAGATCACCAGGTCTTTCTTTCGAGGTGCCTCTGGGTGGACTCCAACCTCCAACCTTTCGATTAGCGGCTGAACATGTTAACCATTTGTACTACACAGGGACTCCAAAAACCAGTTGCCTTCGAGTCTTTAATCTAAAGGAACATAAATATGATTTCCAAGGAGCAATAATAACAATAGTTGATTTTACTGAGCACTTCTTATGTGTATGACACTTCATAGGTTTCATTTATTCCATTTATTTATTCCATCCTCCCAACCAACTATTGCTATTGCTGTCTTAACCCTTTCAAAACTCAATTATTTTCTGCTTTGAATTTTTTTTTTTTTTTGATACCATGTGTTTTCATTAAAGGAAGCATGCTGAGTCATGGGGTGTGTTTAAATTTGGGGTTGGTAAATATTATCTGGTACTACATGATTACCACAGAACTTTTAAGGTTCTCGAACCCCATCTGTGTGTACCTCCGGACCTTGGTTGCTGATGTTTTTCGTGGTGCCTTCCATTAGATTACATGGGGAACCTCTGCTTTTCCAAATATGACACAAAAAAACCAAAGCAAAACCCACCAGGGCTCCCTAACTATCACACAAGGAACCATAAATATGCCTTGCATGGTTTATCTAGGGGTACAAAAGCCAAAAGAGACAAAATGTTTACTCAGTCACAATTCCTGGTTGTACTACCTTACTTGCAAGCCTCATACCCCAGCTATTTTGCTTCAACTAATGTTTCTTACGCCTTTCACCATTATGAAAGTCCTCACTGGAGGGCAGGAAATACTTTCAGTGGTAAAAGTATACTACTAAAGAACCCGAGAGCCTGAAAAAGTAGGTAGTATACCATACGTACTATGGCTCATGGAAGGGTTAAACAAAGAGAAACTGTAACAAAAGTTTATTTACCATATTCAAGGTTACACAGCTCTTAGATTGCTCTGGCTCCGTTGATAAACTCTAATCTCTAACCTCTGCCTCCTCCATGTAAACTGAGGATCAGAACATTGCCATCTAACTTCAGATGCTTGAAAGCCCAGATGAAGTGTACTCAAGAGAAAATGGGAAGGACTCGGAGCACAACCAGTTCATGTTAGAGACGTGTGTGAGTTAGAGCTGTCAAATCTTAGATGGGCCATGGAGTGAAGTATGGAGTTTGCCCTAGACATCTCAGGGAACAGGAGGCCAGCTTGTTGACAGAGAGAGGGTGAAATGTGTCCACGATCTGATCTAGAGGCAGTGACCTTGACCACCACTCTAGAGTCTTCCTGGCCCTAAAGAATCTTTCTGAGAGTTTTTCCTTCATTTTCTTGAGTCTTAGAAATCGAGATAAAAATAGGTTTAGAAAGACAGGGAATGTAAAAAGGAGGAAAATCTCTTTCTGAATAACTTTGTAACGCTGAAGTGAGAATCTTAATATATGATATGTGCACAAGACTAATTTCCACACCATTCAAGAAAATAAATCTCAATTCTTTATCAAATGCATTTATACTACATTTATATACACGGCAAATGCATATGTAAGATTAGTATTCTCCTACTTAGGGGGCAAACTTAGGGAAGTCATTTAACCTCCTTGACGCTCATTTATTAATTACCAGGCAGATGAGAGGATTGAATTATTTAGCATATGTAAAAATACTTTATTTAAATATTAAAGTACTATACAAATGTAAGATAATAGCATCATTCCAAAAGTTACTGCAGCATATGATTGATAAGCTTGAAATGATTTTCTTTTCTTAATATGTGTTATACACGCATGTATGAACACCAATTCATGTATTTTTTATTAATTTTAAGAATAGTGAACTACACTCCGGATATGGCACGAGCTGATGTGGATGAGGCTATCCAAAAAGCATTAGAAGTGTGGAGCAAGGTGACCCCACTAATATTCACCAAGATTTCCAAAGGGATCGCAGACATCATGATTGCCTTTAGGACCAGAGGTAAAGTTTTCAACACAGAAGAAAGTGTATAGTTACATTTATCTTAGGAAGTTTGAAGTGGCTGATTTTTTTTCCCATGAATTGTGTCTCAGTCCATGGTTTGTGCCCTCGTTATTTTGATGGCCCCTTGGGACTCCTCGGCCATGCCTTTCCTCCTGGTCTGGGTCTGGGTGGAGACACTCATTTTGATGAGGATGAAAACTGGACCAAGGATGGAGAAGGTAAGCTCAATTTTCTTTATGAACAAAATTTTATTATTCTGAAATCCATGAGAAGAATAGCTTTGCATCAGTTTTTTTCCCTTTAAACTTCCCAGCTTCCCCTACAGTTTTCCTATCTTAGTTACCTAATGCTGTCGTAACAAGCAGTGGCTTTAAAGAACAGAAATTTACAGTTATGGAGGCTAGAAGTCTGAATTCAAGGTGTCACTTCTAGGAGGAGGTCCTTCTTTGTCTCTTTCAGCTTCTAGCAGCTGCCAGCAACCTGGTCCTGTAGTTTCATCCGTCTCCATCTTCACGTGGTCTCCTCCTCCTGGTGTGTGTCTCTATGTCTATTCTGCTCTTTTTATAAGACACCATTCAGAAGTATTTAGGTTTAGGACCCACCTTATTCTAGTATGCCCTTATTAACATAATGAAAGAAAATCTCTACTTCTAAACAGGGACATATTTACTAGTACGGTGGGTAGGACTTCCACATTTCTTTTTGGGGAACACAATCCAATCCATAATCCATTATGAAAGTGTTTGACACATACTCAGATAATCGTGCTTATGTAGTTCAGAGCCTTAGTCACACAATATCTTTATACAGTTGTTAATCTCTTATGATCAGAGTATTCTTCACTAACTCATGTACTCATTCATTCATCCACAAAACCTGAGGGTCCACTGTATTGCTGGGACTATGCAAGATGTACTAGAAAATTGCTGGTCCTTAAGAGGTTCATGATCTTGTATTTTGTATATACACCATACAAGGCAGAATGTGTTACATGTTGTACCAATTTTAGAAGATATCTGTGGCTTGAGGAGTGAAAGTAGAAAGAAGGGAGGTAGTAATTTTGAGTTAGTGATTGAAGGATGGCATATAGGTTCAGCTCATAGAGGGTCTACTTAAAAGCATGAACTTCCTTTTCTACCTCTTGCCCATCTGCCAAGGAATTAAATCCTAATCTTCATATTTGACCTACTCCTTCAGACCAAGTGGGTTGATTTTATTTCTCTTAGTAGACTTTCCTGGCATTTTTTTTTTTTAAAAAAGATGTTTTATTACTTTATGAAAAAAAAAGCAAAACTTTACTACAGTAACAGTGTGTGCATTGAACAAAGCAGCACGCTCAGTAGACTCTTGGATTCTCCCCAAACACTCTTTTTCTCCTATTATGTATGACAGGCATCTTGGGTGTGGCTTCTAGCCTCTAGAATTCCCAGAAAGCAGAGGCTGTGGCTCTGCTGATGCGCAGCACACAAGACCACAGTTCAGTGCTGCTAAGCAATTCCAGAAAGTTTTTGTTTTGTTTTGTTTTTGTTTTTTCAATTTTATAGTTTCGGTCCATGGCATATGAGGTCATTGTTCTTCCAAGTGCTAGCAAGCAGGCAAGAAGAAAAAATCAGCCATTGGTTGGGCTTCAGGCACCAGGGGAAATCTGGGATTGGTTGCTGCCATTGCCACATGAGTTAGCATGACAAGCAAACAATAGGATAACGGATATAGGATAATATTGTCATCCAAATAACTGAGGATTCAAATGGACCATATCTGTTGTGTATCTTCTGCTGAGACATGTCCCAGTATTTCTCTGGACTTGACCTAAGGGCAGTGGGGATACGCCGCATCAGGAAGTTATAAGAGATACCCTGGAAGTTACCAAAATCAGGTTGGCTCCCTTTGTTTGGCCAGGCTTTACTTTCATATACAGAGTTAGAGCTCAGTCAAAGATTTCATTATACTTTTATTTTTTTGGTGGAGCAATGGTTAAGTGTTCAACTGCTAATTGAAAGGCTGGCAATTCAAGTCCACCCAGCAACTCCATGAGAAAAAGACCTGGTAATCTGCCCCTGTCAAGATTACAGCCTAGAAAACACTATGGGGTGGTTCTACTCTGTCACATGGGGTCTTTCAGTCAAAAACCAATTCGACGGCATCTAACAACAAACACAGCTATTATCCACACTGCTTTAAGCCCCTGCCAAGAAAGGTGGGTAGTGTGTTACTAAAAATTCTGAAGAGTTCAGTGACCAAGGCAGGGGATAAATATGGCCTTTGACCAAGTTTTGGGTGGGCAACCAAGCAACAGTTCCAAGAAGTATTTTCTTCTTTTTCCCTCAGGATAGAAATTGTGGGTCCCTGGTCACATCCAATCATATAACTCTTAGCTCACTCAGGGCATTAAAGGGAAAATGTCTTCATGTTCTCAAATAAAAACATAAAGCATTAAACAAATGTAATCTCTGATCAAAGTGGAATTTTTAATAGGAAATTTGACAAAATATATTTATTTACCTCCTCAATTGAATAGCTGAGGGACTCTGGGCAAAATAATCAGTTTTCTTAGTTTCCATTTCCTTATCTGTAAAATAAAGATAGTAATATACTTCTTGTGGGAAAACGATATAAATTACCTCTAATAAAGGGAAAGCACCTTGCAAAGCATTTGCCCAGAGTGGACTCAGAAAATGCTTGACATTGATGATTATATTGGTGATAGTTAGTATTGATAGAGATGATGAGATGATGATTAGGATGATGATTAGGATAGAAGACATTCCAAGAAGAGGAAAAAGTATTCAAAAAGGTATGAATGTATAATGCACAAACACATCTATTCAGACACATCTCCAAGAAAGCAGAGATTTGCCATATTTTTCCTACATTATCTGAGGGCCTGTAACATTGCTGACACATGATAGATGCTCCACAAATATTTAGTAAATGAAGTAATTTGACAGTCATTTATTGAACATTCACTATAATCCAAGATCTTCGATAAAAATGGAGGATATAATAGTGTACAAGACACAGACCCTGCGCTCCAGGGGTTTACAGTCTAGGAGACACACAGATAATCAGACAGCAATTAAAACCAGTATTATCAGTGATGGGATAAAGGGAACCATGGCAATGAGATGGGAGCACATAGAAGAAATACTGACACAGACCTAGAGGCCGGGGGGGAAGTGATGCCACAGATGAGACCAGAAGGTTTAGCAGGAACTAGAAAGGCAGAGTATGGTAAAGAGGGTGTGTAAGGATGTTCTGGAAAGAATAACCCAGACCAACTCAAGTATTAAAATTGTAGTAGAAGAGAAGGCCAAAAAAGTAAATAGGATTCATATCGTAGAGTCTTGAAAGTCAGGATAAAGATTTGGACTCAATTTAAAAGACCTGCATTTGAATTATTTTTTCATAGATTCACTTGTCCAATCTCTTAACCAAAAGTACACATAGTGATATAGCCAGCCAGTCACGGGGCAGGAGCAAAGGTCAGAGCAGACAGGCATCAAAGACCATAAAAAAATGCTTTGCCATTCTGTATAACTAAAGTGTTTTGTGCAAACATTCACTACACATAGCTCCATCATGGTAAACACTGTGAATGGCTCAGCCTTTTCCTTAAGTCTATGGACTTAGTTTCAAGTCCAAGTACAGTCTTTATATTTAGAACCTTACAGACTAGTGGGCAAGATAGGCAATTAAAAAGGCAATTCCAAGATGCATGGTAAGACTTCTAGAATGGTTAAGCACAGAGTACTCTGGTCATGTGAAGGAGGTGCATATAACCATCCTTTCATCCAAATCAATACGTTTACATCCAGCACCCACTATTGCCAATCCTTTTAGCAGTTGCCAGAAATAAAAGATGATTAAGACATGATACCTGTACTCAAGGGTGCACAGGTTGATGAACGATCTGGACAGTGCAGTCTCACATGTGCTATGACAGAAGTAAACAGTCTACAGGAGCTCAGAGAAGTGCGTTTAGCTCAGCCTGGATAGGAGGTAGGGGGATAAGGGAAGCCTCAAAAATGAAGTGACTCTTGAGAGGCGTCCCGGTGAATAAGTAGGATGGCTAGACCGAGAAGGGGTGGAAGAGACAATATTCCAGGCAGAAGGAATGGAGTTGTAAAGACAAAGAGAGTAGAAAGATCATGGCACAGAAAAAAATTGCAAGTGATTTCATACAGCTGGTTCATGGACTATGAAAACAAAATATGAGGCTGGAAAAAGCCAGGGACTAAATCTTGGAAGGTGATGTTATATTTTGACTTTATCCTATAGTTCGTGGAGAGTCTCTGAAGAATGTAAGCAGAGAGCAACATGAACCTATATAGTATAGTCTAGCAACAACCAAAAACTGGTGACTTCTTCTTCTTTTTTTTTTTTTTAATACTATCCATTTTAAGATACCTGGTTCCAACCACTTGCTTACTCTGGGTTATATTTCATCATGATGTGGTTAATATCAATTATTAGTCTTGGAGTATTTACCAGATAATTGATGGGGCATATTTTACATGCATTACCTGCTGTATAGCAAGTCTGTTCTCTTTTTCCTTTAGTTACTTCCTAATCTCAGATGCAATCATTCTCCTTTGATTGATTCATGTGCTTTTGTTTCCCCTATTTTTTGTTAAGGATTCAGCTTGTTTCTTGTGGCTGCTCATGAATTTGGTCATTCTCTGGGGCTCTCTCACTCCAATGATCAAACAGCATTGATGTTCCCAAATTATGTCTCCCTGGATCCTAGCAAGTACCCCCTTTCGCAGGATGACATTGATGGAATTCAGTCCGTCTATGGTGAGCAAAATTATAAATCTGAATATATGCAAACTAAGTAGAAAGCTTTCCAGGAAGGAAGATGAGAAAATCACTTCTCGAAATAGTATCATGAAGAAAATATTCACTTGGGTAAGATCCTTCAGTAGGGTATTTCCTCATGTCTTCTTCATTTACTATGGTATTTCTTTTTTTTTTTCAAAGGAGGTTTACCTAAGGCATCTGGGAAGCCAACGGAAACCATTGTGCCCCATGCTTGTGATCCTGATTTGACTTTTGATGCTATCACCACTTTCCGAAGAGAAGTCATGTTCTTTAAAGGGAGGTAAACCCATCCCCTTAAACAACTCCACTTCTTATGAATATTTTTCTTTTCAAGGGGTTTGGACAAAAAGGGGAGTCAACAGGGCTGATGAGAATGTGTATCTTTTACTTTTCATTTTACACCTTTCCATACTGTTTGTATGCTTTACTATAAGCATATATCTCTTACACTGTTTGATAAATTATTTTTTAAATGCTTTTAAGCAATTTTAAAAATTGTCATTGGATAAGAAGTTGAAGTAGAGTCTACTTTCCGTGACTTCGTTGCCAAAATAATACACCAATCCAGGTGTTATTCTGGAACAAGCTCATACTGTCTCAAGAGTCAATTGTTAAATTTTCAGAAATTGTGCAAAACAGTCGACATCACATTAATAGCTTGAAACTGGCCACGGTAGGCATGCTTACGTCCTGAAAACTGGCAAATGATAAACTCAAGTCTTTTTTTTTTTTAACTCAAGTCTTTTTCAAAACATTTATCAGCACACTGCTAATCATTCCTTAATGTTTCATCAATAAAGCATTAGCTGTAGTAAGAACTCTCTTTTTTCACTATGTGTAATTTATTGGACCTATATTTCAGCATAGTGACTTAGTTATGTATACCAGCACCATATTTTCAAAACAAAGTATCAGGGCATACACTATCTGACAAATACATAGGAGAAAAGGAAAGGATATTTGAAATTGGCCTCCTTCCACTCATCCAACTATAAAAGCACTGTAATTACACATGATTGCTGCCACGCTCATAACGGCAGAGGCTGAGAGACCACCTAGCAGGAATATCAGAGGAGAGTTGACTGCATGAGGAGAGAAATGGAACGTAGGACTAGTCAAGTATCATTCATAGATTCATAGAATTTTACAGCCAGAAGGAAACGGCTGAGGGAGTATTTTGGCACTCCAAAGCTATCATTTCTTGTTACAACAAATACCTGCATCAAAAAGTTCTGCTTAGAACTTAGAACACCTAAGACATTGGGTGTTGCCGCTTTGGCACACACGAGGTCATTGGGCACACAGAACTATTTACAGTATTACCACGGATAGTTGGCCACCCTAAGAACCCAAGAGAGTGGGAACAAGGGCATCTCCTGACGTCGGCAGTCTAAAGGGCAGAACTAAACTCAAAATCACCCAAATTTGCTGGAGGGAATTGTGTTATTATTATCCGTAAATTATTTGAGGAAAACACCAACTGATTAGATAAAAGGCAAGCCAAAGATTGCAATGTTTTCATTGACACAGATAGACATATATGCCGTACATGTAAAGTCTTTTTTATTTATTGCAGATATCTATGGAGGATCTATTATGATATCGCCAACGTTGAATTTGAATTAATTGCTTCGTTCTGGCCATCTCTGCCAGCGAATATTCAAGCTGCATATGAGAACCCCAAGGATAAGATTCTGGTTTTTAAAGGTAGCTTTGCCCATTATGATTCCTTTTCTTCCTCCGGATGCCTAAACTGGCCAGGGGGTATTTTGGTTCAAATATATAATCTTCATGCAGGAGCCAAACGGACAGGGTTTCTGCTCTGATCTTAGATTCCTGTCATAGAGAAAAATCAACCAGGAATTCTCCGTGACTGTGAAGATAAACACCATCTTGATTGCACAGGGCTAAAAGAAACCTGTGTCATAAAAACTATAGTCTTTTTTCAGCCAAGTAAATGTAATCCATTTCTATTTTTATATTCCATTTTTACTAGGGTTGCCAGATTTGCCAAATAAAAACACAGGATGTTTTGAATTTCAGATAAATAACAAATCATTTTTTGTTGTAAGTATGTCACATGCAGTATTTTGGATATACTTATCCCCAAGATTATTCATTGTTTATTTGAAATTCAAAATTAACTGAGTATCCAGTATTTAGTCGAGCTACCCTACTTTTTACATAGATTTCATCAGGTTACTTGCTGTTGAGAGCACTTAGGGACTGAATTTTAGGAGAACATGCCCAAACATGCTTGACTATTTTGACAAAGTTGGCAGTTTAAAAGCAATCAACGCAGGTGAACCAATTGGCAAGGGTAGGCACACTATTAACTACAGGTCTGTATTATTTGTAGCATATTAATGATATAAATGCCAAAGAAAGTGGTAGGAATAAATGAGGACATAAAATTATTAAATCTCCAAGCATTGCAGCTGAAAGGAACTAGTCATCTAGTTATTTTCAAACTTCTTAAGATAATCACTTTGTCTCTTCCTAGATGATAATTTTTGGATGATCAGAGGATATACTGTTTTGCCAGATTATCCTAAATCCATCTATGCCCTTGGCTTTCCAAGACATGTGCAGAAAATTGATGCAGCTGTCTATGACCAAAACACAAGAAAAACCTACTTCTTTGTGGGTATTTGGTGCTGGAGGTAAATTTACAGAGAACTAACCCTTTGACTTTATTCTGGAGAAAAACACCCACGTAGCATCATACTGACACAGGTGAAAATAAAGCTAATCTATAATTTTCTTAATGTGAATTATATTAAGGGAAATCTCTGATGGAGGACATTTACCAAACCAAAAGATGTCTCAATGAGTCCCAGTATCTTTCTCCAACTTAAAAAATAAAGATAAGATAAAATGAAAAGATGGTGATGCCAACCAAATTGCCAGTCACATACACAGTCAAAATCTATGAAAACTCCAAGCTGAGCCCTCACTTTAACAATTCCTCAGAATAGCACCAATCTAACAAATGATGTGACTATTATGTCTGATCATTTCTTGTTTTAAAACACTGTAAAGGATCCAGATCCAGTCAAACATAATCTTTGCCATGTATTTATTATTGATCCAATTAGTTTTCCCCTACAAGGTCTACTTGTTCCCCACATCTCTGCTTGACTTCAAGCTAGGCGCTAGAAGGATTAAGCTCCCCAAAACAAAGACCTGCTGGAAATCTTTCAAATCCATTTACCCAGGTATGATGAGATGACCCAAACCATGGACAAAGGGTACCCACAAAGGGTGATAAAACACTTTCCAAGAATTGGTCTCCGAGTTGATGCTGCTTTCCAGCATAAAGGTAAGCACCAATGCCTAAACTATTGGGACATGGGGAGACTTTATTGACTATGATAAAGGACAGTGCAAAAACTTAAAAGTTTCTATTTTAATGTAATTTTCCTACTCTTAAGGACAAGTAATAATAAACATTGACCCAGTGAGCATTATCACAAACTGACTCATTAAATCCTGAATTATATTCTCTAAGCTATATGATTTCAAATCTATATAAAACGTACCCAAAATACTTTTACTTATCATTGATCCAAGATAATCCAAAAAAGACACCTCGTGAAAAGTTCTAAGGGTGAAAAGTGGCTGAGCACATGGACTGAACAATTTGTGTGTGGAAACAAATTCTTCAGCCTCACTCTCAGAGTTTCTGAAGCAGTAGGACTGTGGGTGAGACCCAAGAATCTGCAGTTTTAAAAGAATCACAAGCAATTCTAATGCACACAGTCCAGCTACTTTATCTTCAAAGACACTGACCTAGATGATGGGTAATTAGGAGTCTAAAAATGTTTTTGAGTGACACATCTTTTATTCCAATGAAATCTAACACAGAATCTCAAAACCTAAAACAAATAAACACAGAGAGGCTCCAATAAAACGGACATATAGGGCTCAAGACCAAACCCACAGGGCCTTCTCCTCCCCCTCAGTGAGGCACTTTATTGAAACTTAGTTTGAGACCCTCTAGCACAGTCTTTCTAGAAAGATAGTAAGTCCCTTGCAATTCATGCTTCACCCCTTGGCTTTCTCCTCAGGGAAATAAAAATAATAGGAGAATGTCAGCCTTGAGCACTGTGCTGTTTTAAGAACTATCAATATGGGACCAAAGTGACAATAGCAACTTGAAAAATTTGAAAGGAAACTCAAGGGGCTGTGAGTTTATGTTAATAGGGGAAGAACAATTCAGAAAAGGAGAGTGAAAATGGTTGCACAACTTGAAGAATGTAATCAATGTTGCTGAATTGTACATGTAGAAACTGTTGAATTAGTGTACGTTCTGCTGTGTATATTCTCAATAACAACAAAATATAAAACGAATTATTGAGAAAAAAAAAAAAAACCTATGGAGCAGTTCTACTCTGCACACATAGGATCGTTCTGAGTCAGAAATGACTTGATAGCAATTCGTTCAACTGGTTAATCAGATTACTCATATACTGGCTAACTTGTGAAGATGCTTTGGAAAGCTTTTAAAATAAAATATCTTGGTCACTCAAAAAAATAAAATACTAGGATTGCCCATGTGACAGCAGTAAAGTAAAATATACTTAATTTCACTGATTTCTTTGCTCTCCATAATGTTCAATTACTTTATTCTGTTGTCATAAAATAAAAAAGCGTGGAACCATTGCATTGTGCAAGATAGCTAATCATGAGTCTCTGTCTTTAGGATTCTTCTATTTCTTCCGTGGACCAAAGCAATTTGAATATGATCCTAAGGCAAAAAATATTACCCGAATGATGAAAACCAATACCTGGTTTCAATGTAAAGAACCATTAAACTCATCATCTGATTTTGGTGTCAAGGAAAAAGTACGTTCAGGAGGAGTGGAGGTGTCTTATCAGAAGAGTTTAAGCTTGCTTATTTTTACTATTGTTCAACTGCTGAAAAAAACATAGTTATTAATAAATTCACATATCTGAAATAAATTTCAAGAGGTCTTTTAATCTGAATTCTGCCTCAAAGTAGAATAAACCTATTCTTTAACCTTCAGTTGCCAGTCCTAGTTCTAAATATCTATCAGATAAAGATTCTATAACCATTTTGAACTGCCTCGTTCTTTTAAAAGGAAGTTAATGTCTAAACAAAATCTCTCACTCTACTTTAAGCCTATTTCATGCCTTTGTGGACTTGGAGAAATAATGCTTATGTCTTATAATAACTAAATACTGAAGACATTTATTAAACCAATCTTTAGCACTCTATTTTGTTTGGACTTTTGGAGTTTGAGATGCCCAATAAACCGCAATCCCTCCTCCCTACTCATGTTCTGACCTCACTGAGAAATAAGATTAAAGAATAAGGCAGTTGAGAGAGCAAAACACCACCATTATTATAGACAAAGCTTATCTTAGATAATGTTTCCGTGGGAAAGCTGGTTTTCTAGTATTAAATTCCAGAAAAAAAATAGATTTACTCCCAAGTCATGGAAACAACAAGAAAGAACCAGGCTTCCCCAGGAATTATCAGAGAAGAATGTCAGCTTCCGGTAGGCTGTCTGGAGCCCAAAGAGAAAGAAGGGAGGATAGAGCTACGTATGCCAACCATTCCCTAGAGTTAAATGCATACAGATGCATTTAACCATTCCTTAGAGCTAAAATTGAATTCCATGCACACTAACCTTATATACAAGAAAAGTAGGAGTTTCTGGCCTGTGTTTGAGATATATGGGCATCACCTGAGCCTAAGCCTATGGATGGAAAGCTCCTTTCCCTTTGTTCCACCACGTATTGGTTGCATTTCTAAATTTGTATATTTAGGTTTTACTTTTACACCCTCAAAACGAAATTCTTAGCAAAACTCTTAATGAATTGTCTGACTTAAAAGATGTGAGATTGCCAGTTGAACTTGATTCTGATGAGGTGATAGACTGAGCGGCTATCAACTACTATAGAATAAGCACAGAAAATCTCACAATTTCCTACAGCCGTTTTCCTCCTACATTTTTTCCCTTGAGTTCAGTGTTCCCAGATTCCTGAAAGTAAAAAGGTATGTAAGAGAGTTGCTGCATATTTTGAAACAGAAAACAAATTTAAGAAGTATAACTTGGTACTTAGCATGTAGTAGATAGTAGGACAATCTTGGCAAAAAAAAAAAAAAAAATAGTGCTGGAACAATTGAATATCCATAAGCATTAAAAAAAAAAAAAAGTCAACCCTTACTTCACGCTATTTACCAAAATTGACTCAAAGTGGGTCATAGAGTTCTAAATATAAGATCTAAAAATACAAAACTTCTAGAAGAAAGTATAAGAAAAAATTTGTAACCTTGGATTATATATTTTTTAAAGCTGTGCACATAAAATTAGTGAATTTTGCTATCTGTTAATGTTATGTATTAAATTGTGTCCCCCTGAAATATATGCTGAAATCCTAACCCCTGGTACCTGTGAACTTGACCTTGTTTGGAAATTGGGTCTTTGAAGATTTTATCCATTAATGCTAGGTCATACCAGAGCAAACCAAAAAATCCACTGCTGTCGAGTCAATTCCAATTTGTAGCAACCCTATTGGACAGAGTAGAATTGCCCGATAGGTTTCAAAGTAGAGGCTGGTGGATTCAAACTGCTGACCTTTTGGTTAGTAGCCAAGCTTTTAACCACTGCACCACAGGGACTCCTTAGTACTTTAACATGTACAGGTAGTCCTCGACTTACATTGTATTTGAGTTACGACAAACTGCACTTACAACCATCTGTTTTTTTGTTTGCGTTTTTTGGTATATCTTATCATTAGTAATATGTACCATATACAATGTTGCAGCAGGTCATAATTTGCTGATGTTATCATTCTCAGATATTCACTTACAGATGTTCAAAGATCAGATTTATAAAGACACTGATAATAAAAAGCAATAATAATGAAAACTAAAAAAAAGAAGTATTCAACTTATGTCAGAACTGACTTACGAGGGGGTTACAATGACATGGCGGAGGCATCTGACCTCCTCTAACTTCACAAAGGGGAAGGAGAATCAAGATCAACAGCCTAAGGCGGATTCCTGTGAGACAGAAGCCAGACATGCCTCCACACTCCAACCTTTTCACCAACTCTGACACCAACCGTCCCTACCGCAGGACTCTCTACATCTCTACTGGGTTCAATAATTCATTGCAATGGCCACACAGAACTCACAGACAACACTCGCCATTATGGAGTTTATTAGGGAAGTAACAGTTTACAATACAAGATCGGAATGACTCAGGATACAGTTCTTTGGTCAGTACAGCTTCTTCTCACCCATGCCCACAGGCATGCCTCTCTCTGGCCCTCGACCTCTCAGCCCCATGACCCCTTGTCCTCTTGGTCCCTCAGCCCCTTAACCCAGCCTCTACTCTGCTCGGGCAAGTGTTACAAAGCTCATTACCTCTGTAATAATGAGTGCCCGGGGACACCTCACTCCACCAGGAAGCCTCCTGCCTAAAGGTGCTCAACTCTCTTGCTCCATGGGCCAGGAAGCCCACTATGCCATCTCCTGCTGGTCTCGTGGTACTGCTGCCTCTGCTGTTGCCATTTCTCTGCTACTGCTTCTTACTCTCTCAGATGTTACAGCTCTCCTCTGTCTTGTTTCTGCTGCCTCTGCTGTCTCTCTCTGTCTTCTGTGTTACAGCTCCTCTCTATCTCTGTGTCTCCCTTTAAGCTTAACAGAATGGCAAAACTGACCAATCCCCTTGTTAGGGTTTCATACACCTTATTTGCATGGTCTCACCCCTACAAAGTGCATATACATTATTTATATTATTAGCAAACTATCCAATCTCCTCAGTGGGCCACAAGAACATAGTCCCACCTAGTCATTTGGTGGGAATTACAAAGACCATGGCTAAAAGAGCCATATTGAGTAATTCACTGCACTGCAGATGGAGTCATCAGAATGGAGTCCAGTCATAAATCAGGGATTACCTGTACTAGATTATCAAATGTTGGCCATATTTGTTTTTTTCCTTCATACCTCCCCTCAGTTCAGCAGCATAAATAATACCTGTAATACTATAATTTGGAAAGTGTCTGAAATTGGGCTCAGATCTGCTTATGGGCACTTTCTCCTTGATTTTTGAAAAAACAGAAAAAAATCTATAGGAGAGGACAAGACATAAATATGAAAATAATCCTATTCTGAGCCCAGTGGAATGTCTAGAAACAGAGTTTTCCAAGGCATGGATGTTGCATACTGGAGCCAAAGTAAAAGATGTCAGGTGATATCACTGTCGTTTGAGATTTAAATAAAATTGGCTTCCAAGCTCCTATGAAGATTCCAATGGCCTCCCTCAAGCAAGTTGTGGGGAAAAAACTTGAAATTGAATGAGACATTCTTATTCTTAATGTCGTTTAGACAATCCACATCCAGAAATATCTCCCTGGCCACTTTTCTCCACAGACTTCAGCCTCCTGCTCTTCTGTCTGATGCTTTCTCTTCTCTGCCCTCTATGTATGAGGAACCCACGTTCCTGTTTCTTTAATTACTATTTTTTTAATGTAGAGTCGTTGAGGTATATCTTTGCTTTATTGTCTATTTTAAACATGTTCTTAAGGCCTGCCCTTCCTTGGAAAAGCAGCTTATTAAGGTATTTTTTTCTCCGAAAGAAAAACAACAAAATATGCTTTCACCTTGCTTCATAAAGAAGATATTTTTATTTGCTAGCTTGGAGGCTGGGTAAAAGTATGTGCTTTGGAGCCAGACTGCTTAGGCATGGCCTAGTTCCTCCGCTTATTAGCTATAGAATCTTGGGCAAGTTACTTACCTCCCTGTGCCTCAGTTTCCCCATTTGGGAAATAAAGATTGTAAGAGATCCAGACTCATAGAGTTATTCAGAGGGCTAAGTAAATTGGTCACATAGAACACTTAGAATCAGTACTTGATATATAGTATTGTGAGCCATCATTGCACAGTGAAACCTGTGAAAGCCGGAACTCAATGAGACTGCCTTGTTTTTCCTGGTATGGAGTTTCCCGCCTTTGACATGGTGCAGTCTTGCCACTGTTTACCACTTTTCTACTATTCTCTACCAGTGGAAAATATTTGAGTTTTCCTTCTCCGACAAATTTCCGCCTTACACAGGTTCCAGCTTTCAGAGGTTTGCTGTAATTAGGCAAGGAAAGGAGCCCTGGTGGTACAGTGGTTAAGCGTTCAGCTGATAACCAAAATGTCAGCAGTTCAAATCCACCAGCCACTCCATGGAAACCCTATGGGGCAGTTCTACTCTGCCCTATATGGTCACTATGAGTCAGAATCGACTTGACCGCAGTGGGTTTTTTAGTTTTGGAGGCAAGGAAAGCCATTTATCAAAAATTACTAACCATGGGAAATACTAGAAGCTGAGCTCAACCTCACTGCCCATTTGACTTCTCAGCCTCTGCCATCACTTCTATAACGAATTCCTTGTATTAAATCCCATTTCAAATACTAACAGTGATCGCTGTTTGCCTGGTTGACACTTGACTAACACATTGCGTAAAGAAATAGAGTGTCATATGTGGGCTGTTCTGGGTATGAGTTACACAGAGTTCTCAGCGATGATCTGAGACCTAAATCTGAAGGAAGTGAGCAAGCAAGCCACTTCTGGGGTTAAGGGTGCTCCAGGGAGAAGGACAGGAAGTACAAATGCCCTGAGGTGGGAATGTTCTGGGCTTTGTTGAGAGGAACTGAAGAGATACCTGTGGCTAGAGAGAAATTGGGGCAAGGGTATAGTGAGGGGGAAGGAATGAAATTGGAGAAATATCAGCAAGCCAAATCATGTCAGGCCTTATTGGTCATTATATTGACTTTTGGTTCTAGACAGTTTTAAGCAGAGAAAGAATATTATTTGACTTACATTTTAAAAGAATCACTCTGGCTGCTCTGAGGACAATAAGCAAAAGGATAGATGTGTTAGGAGGCTACTGCAAAAATCCAGACAGTAGATGATGGTAGCAGCAGGGAGAAATTGTTAGCTTGCGGGTCTATTTTGAAGGTAGAGATGACAGGATTTGCTATGGATTGGATATGTTGTGTGAAATAAAGAGGGTAGTCAAAGACAGTTCAATTTTTGTTCTGAACAAACAGGAAAATGGAGTGTCCATTCACTGAGGTGGTAAAGTCAGTACCCAGCAGAAAGTTTGCTATTAAATTTCTAAATAAATCACTCATATCTTTCCACCTTTAA